GGGAGTTTTAAAAAAAAAGACAGGAGCGTGTATTAACCTCTGCCACCTGGGGGACGGAGGGCGATTTACACACAGGCAGCACATACGAGCACAGACACACAGACTCAGCAGTTGTCCAACACACACACACACACACACACGCTAATAAAAATAGATATAGACACACAAACTGCTGAGCTTTTTTTTTTTGTCCGTGTTATTCCTGCAGGTCCAAAAAAACCAGAAGCAGTCGACTCAGATTCACACAACGCATCGTTTCTTTATCGCTCTGTTACTGCTGCTGATGTTTCTGCTGCTGCTGCTGATGCTGCTGATGCTACGTCTCCTGCTGCTGCTGATGTTACTGCTGCTGCTGATGCTACGTCTCCTGCTGCTGCTGATGCTACGTCTCCTGCTGCTGCTGATGCTACGTCTCCTGCTGCTGCTGATGCGGCTGATGCTACTGTTACTGCTGCTGATGCTGCTGATGCTACGTCTCCTGCTGCTGCTGCTGTTACTGTTACTGCTGCTGATGCTGCTGATGCTACGTCTCCTGCTGCTGCTGCTGTCACTGCTGCTGCTGCTGATGCTGTTACTGCTGCTGTTTATGCTGTTACTGTTACTGTTACACAAAACCAGCAGAGAGATGACGTCATACGGGCACAGACTTGTTTGCAAAGGAAAATATTCAGGTGCACTTACACAATATAAACACTAGGACACAGACGACGTCCACTGTTGACGTCTGAGACTTGTCTAATATTATTCTATACATTCAGCACTGGCTTCTTTTATTTGTTAATTCGTTGTTAATTTTGTCGACTCATCAGTTTCGTCGATGACGACCTATTTTTCTGAGCAAAAATTTGACCAAAAAAAATCATCTGTGAAGCTAAGAGTTGTCTGGTGCTACTGTACGATCGTGCCCACCACGCACAAGGCTGCAGGTTCGATTTCACCTGGTCTCCAATTCAAGTCAGTGAAGGGAATCTATAATCTATACAAACTAGCTCTATGGTGACCCCTGTTGACAGAGCAGCTCAGAGCTGTGTGTGTTGTTATTGAATGTATAGACTGTGGTGATGTAGGAGAGCAGGAGAGAAAACAAACAAATAAATAGAAATCCGTCCACGTCTCCTCCTCCTGATGTACGTCCTGTCGTACCTTCACGTTAACACACGCCCACATCCACACACACACGGTGACAATCTCTGTCTGGAGCTCAGCAGACTGTGAAAGACAAGACTGTGAGGAAACAAGAAAACAAGAAAAATGAAGGAACAGAACATTTCTGTCTGGCAGCACAGATCTGCTGATAAACGCCGGGAGGGAGGGAGAAAGAAATTAGCTCCATTTATGGGCGGTCGGCAGGAGTGCTCCTCTGGTGAGGTCACCAAGGTGGAGAAGATTGGCTACGATCGACAAAACTCACTTTCCTGCTCTCTGGTGTGTGGAACTGGTCAGTCTGAGTCCGACTGTTTCTTTCAGTAAAAAAAAAAACCACGTCACATCCCTGTTTTCCTCTGACGATCAGCTTGACCCCGAGCTGACCTGCACGTTGGTGTTGGTGAAAAATGAAAATATTGTATTTAGAATTAGATTTTTCGTCACGCCTCTGTTCCTTCAGTCCGTTTATCCTGGTTGTCTTTTTTTTTTTTGTTATTGTTCAGGCGGTGACGGTGTCTGTCACTAACTCTAACCCAACTGTGACGCTTTTCAACTTTTAACTATTAACGTCAACAAAGTTGTGAAAGTCGTGGCCCACACTGTAAAGTAAATGAAGCGAGGGAACGGGGGGGGGGGGAGGAGGGGGAGGGCGTGAAAACAAAGTGAGCGACGACAAGGAGAGCTGGAGCGAGACAAAGTGAGACAAAGTGAGACAGGCGCAGGGCCATTGAGAGAGAGGGCGATTGAACATGATGATAAGAGCTACCTTTAACTTGGAGAGAGCTCTTGGTGGACCACAAGTGCAGCTCAGCCAGGCAGAACGCCATCTGACGGAGGAGAGTAACCCGAGTCTGCGGAGAGGGACGAGAGCAGGACAGAACAAATGAGGGGCGGGACAAACACCTGTCCAGATGGGTATCTCAGCGAGGGGGACATGAACGAGGCCCCAGGGTCGTTTGACTGACCGTTAGTCCAGAGATGAAAATATAAATATATTTAGGATAAAATATTTGAGTCTGAATGATGAAAAAAAAGAGATCTGTTCTCAGGATGTTGGTGACCTTCATCTAAATCATCTTCATTCACATCTGTAAAATTCTTCACTTTGAGAATTTGATATGTGACATATGTGTCAAACGTATGGCCCGTGGACCAAATGTGGCCCGCCAAGTCACTTTGCGTGGCCTGCAGGAGTTTAAAAATATTTAATTGCCTCATAAACTTGATAATTTGTTTTTAATTACACAGAGCAATTTACAATATTTGTAACTAAATATTTGTACCGTAATAAAAATCGTGTATTCATACGTTATGGAGTAGTTACATCTGTACAGACTGAGAACTGATAACATCTCAACATATTATTGTTGATTTATTGTCTTTAAATTCACCAGACTTCACCTCTGGTCTCTGTTCGTAATCACGGCAGTAATTATTCGCAGTAATTATTCGCAGTAATTCTTTGAGGTACAATTTCGCTGTAATTCTTTGAGGACATTGTTCTGCGTCACAACAACGCTACAACAAAAATCATTGTTGTCCTTGTTCCAAATATACGGTATAAAAGCGATCATAATAGCAGTATAGGATGTGAACAAAAACAATACTCCTGTCGCAACTTAATACCCTCTAGTGCCACCTAGGTACCAGTTGTACCTGTCTTACTCGTGAGAAGGAACTTGGCCGTCGGTGAATGCACATTTCTACCAAAAAAGAAAAACGAAACAACTAATTACAAACAATTGATCGACACACACACACACACACTCTGTGGAGCCTGTGAACTCCGTCTGACACCGAGGCGAGGTCATGGGCGTCGATGCCTGTTTCACACATCACAGGTGAGCAGTGATGGACACACACTCACACGTCGGAGCTGACAGCTCAGACAAAGCAGGCAACATTCCTCACATTGGTTCATGAACGCAGAGCAGAGCTATGAAAACCGTGGGTGGCCCCGCCCTCCTCATGACAGACCTTAAGGTTTCACCGAGTCGAGAAAACGGTGAAAAAAAAAATGAAGCTTTTATTCTGTACGTTAGCTTCAAGTCCCGTCAGCAAATAGAAAGAGAAAAAATATATATATTTGATGTTAAATCTGTTTGATTTTGTGACGGTGGTTCCCAAAATGGGGGGCGGGCCCCAACTAGATGGCACAGAGTTGTTGCACTTGGACGGCTAGGCAAGGAATTTCAAACTCATTTTATTTCACAAATTAAATGAGAATAATGAAATGTTTGTTTTAATACCGATACCGTCCACTAGGAGTTCGCCCAAGAAAATGCCTCCTACCGACCTTATATAACCAAATGCCACGATCTTATATTTTATATCTTACAAAAAAAACTAAAGCAACAAGATCTGATAACCATTTATGTCGTAGGATTTCGCAAATATTTAATAATAATTAGCTGTTCGTTAAAAACCGACGGCTGTTCCGGAGATATCCGTTAGCAGAGACTGACCTCGGTGTTGACTGGCCTCAGGTTGGGAGTTTATCTCCAAGCTAGAACCATCTGCTGGTTCTAAGAACTACAACGTAGCAGTTAATGCTAATGTGGCTAAAGCTAGTGGCCTTAGCTCTGCTAAAAGGGGCGGAGCCAAGTCCTGGTCCCTAGAGGTTTAAATCCCCCAAACTTTAATGTTCAATTCAATCATATTCAACATTAGGTTTTATTATAAATGAATGAAACGCAGGAGAATTTCTCTACTGGAATAACGCGGTGGTAGAGCGTCAAGCTAATTACACCAGACAAACGTCCTCAGACCCAGTGCCCACTGAGCCACAGCAGGTCCTGGACATCTGCCACATTCATGTTGTTTACCTGAGTTGGCCACAGTGTACGGAGGGTCTGTGTGAACGGTGCTGGAGGTGGTGGTTATAAGGTGGGGGGGGGGGTCGGGGGGGTTCAGACTTATTGTTGTCTCTAAAGAGCCTGCTTTAACATCAAAGCAGAGAGGGGGAAAACATGAGAGCACCCTTTCAGGCACAGTCCACAGGAACTAGGACCTCGTCTGCTCCTCGGACTCCTCTTACACTGACCCCTCCAGGGGGCTTTCCATGAATATGTGTGTGTGTGTGTGTGCAACAGACGGTGCCTCTGTGTGAGTACGAACACATACTGTACACAGGGGGTGTGTGTGTCTGTGGGCCAAGGACATATGAAGTAGACAAAGGTACTGTACAGTGCCCCCAGTGGGGTGCTTGAGCACTGCACGGGAATTAGGAAGAAAAATATAGGAGTTTGCGGGACAACGTTATCTGAACTGGTCAAATCTACAGCCTTGTTGTTCAATGACATGTGAACAGTCTACAGCTTTAAAGTCACCAGAAGAGGGCGCTAGGGTTACGGAAGTGACTATAGATGCTGCTCATGCTAGCGTGTGTACGGTAATATGTCAACTCTAAATACTGGTTAATAAAATCTGAAAAATATACACAGTTAAATATTGAGTAGGAATAAAACGGTAATTTGATGTAAAGGTTTTGACAAGTCCAGATCAAACTGGATTTACTTTACTCCCCCTGTAGGTGATGGGTAGATATGCAGACGGATCTGTTTATTCATTTGTTTTTAAAATAATGAGATATTTTGCCAAAACTGCACATATTTATTAGTAGGGCAGAAGTATTTTATGAAAAGTATTTTTGTACATTTATGACCAGACCTGCACACTAAAAAAAAAAAAAAAAAAAACTCTCTTTCTGTCACTCTTTGATAAAATTTGGCCCCGAGATCAAGAGGGAAAAAAATAAAAACCACTTTTAGCAGATTTGACACCATGATGATAGAGAGAAACTGGAGATAGTGATAGAGGAGATGGATTTGAAAAATCTCATTGATTTTACCCACTGAAAACTCACCTTGTCCAAGGTCAGGTGATAGTGTACGGTCTGTGGCAGAAGGAGAGAAAAAAAAGAAAAGTTTGTTTTTTAGAGTCTGATCTTTAGAAAAGGAAAAAGATCCAGAAGAAATATAATAATAATAATTCAAAATTGTTTTATTTAGATTTTGTTTTTGTTTTTTTACATTCACTAACTTTTATAATAATTCAAAATTGTTTTATTTAGACTTATTTATTTTATTTTTTTTACATTCACTAACTTTGAGTTAAAACCAGATCAATTACAAATCTGTTACAGATGAAGTTTTCGTTAACAAAGTGTAAAGTGTGAGAAATCTTTGCACTAATAATTTTACACATTGAAAGTAAATTCATAAAAACTTAATATTATAATATAATAAATAAAATATTTATTCTTTCTCTGCGGGTTCCTGCAGAAACACGTCAGGATACTCACGTAAAGTAAACGTGGTTTATGTTGTTACAGTATGAACCGTAGGGTTCAGCGGCGTTGAAGAGCTCAGGGTCGACAAGGGGCGGGGGTTCAAATCCCGAGCTGCTCTGCAACAGAAGAGAGACACCAACGAGATGATGAAACCGAGGCAGACTCACAGACGGACAGACATTTTCTCTGACATGTTAAGAATCCTCGCTCCCTCTCTGACACACACACACACACACACACACACACACGCCAGAGGCAGCGTTGTCACTCAGTGCAGTCGACCCATCACCGCAAGGAGACAGATGTGGTAAATTACAGGGTTAAAGAGCTGCCAAAGGGTGAGTGACACAAGGCCATCACCATCACCCCCCCCTCCCCCCTCCAGCACCATTCCTCCCCCACACACACACGCAAACACACATTCAGTCACACTTTTTTAATAAGATCACACGTTGACGTTTCCTCCTCACCTTCTTGTCTCTTTGTTTTGACCCTGTTTTCTAACTTCCTGCCATTTAAAAAAATGTCTCTCAGTAAAGTTTTTTTTTTTTTCCTTCTCGCTCGGCCACTGCCTCTTGATGTTTCGGTTGCCGGGTAGAAACTTGTCAAACATGAGGAACATACACAGGGGTGGACCAAACAGAGCCGAGATACGACCGGTTTACAGCCTGTAATTGTGAGTGTATGAGTGGAGATTTTTCCAATCTCGGCTTCGGCTGCCGCTCCTGCAAGTCTCAATCACACACACACACACACACACACACACACTCACTCACTCACGTATTCCGTCGACACACACTCAGGCATCACAGCCCGTCCGCAGCCACATACGCTGCTATCTCTCCAGCGTCTGATGTGTGAACTCAGACGCTGGAGCACAAACGTATGCATGGAGTCCAGGACTTCCTATCTTTGAACCTCGCGATACCGGAGGAAATACACACATACACACACTTACATTCACAGATATATATGTATATATGTGCACACACACACACACAGACACACACACACAGACACAGTGTGTGCTTATCTGCAGCATATCCTTGAGGGAGAAGACCTGGAGTGTCTTCCAGTGTTGTATCAGAGCAGAGAACGGTGGACAGAACTCAGAGGAGCGATGGTCTGATTCTGAGGACTGAGACAGAGGAGACGGAGGAGGAGAGAGAGACAAAGGACGAGACAAAGGAAACAAGGCTGTGAAAGGGTTGATGAGGGAGCAGGAGACCACGTCAGGGGACACTCACGGAACAGATAGGTGTGTGTGTGTGTGTGTGTGTGTATTTACCGTTCCTATCATGTTCAGTTATACTGTAGTTACTGAACAGTGATCTTCGTGAAGACCGCGCAAGAAACAGCAAAGAAAACAAACAAAAACTGTATATAATCGACCGACCGACATCATCGACCCAGATGTTAGCGTAATTATGTAATATCTGTAAGAATCGTTATCGGTTTTTGCTCCGATATTGAAATCCTGATAACGCAATGCCTGGTTTTCACAAAAAATAGTTTTGGGGATAAACGACTGTATATTCAAGTGAAAGTCACTAGATGGCAGCCTTATTTAAACTCATACTCATACAGTGGTTTGTACAGATAAATAAATAAATATATATATATATCGGAATTGATATCGGAATTGGAAATTGTTGTAAAGTGTTTGGACAATATCGACATATCAGTTATTGGCAAAAAGTTCATATTGGACATCGCTAAACACCAGGATCTCCGAACAGTTTCACCTACAAAAATTCCACCTAATCGCAAACAAGCACTGACGGCCACGGCAGGCGAACGTGACTTGACAACACCAACATAGCTTCGTCAAAAACCCAGCGTACACTTCCTACCAAGTAGCCTAGCCTTAACCCTTTAATGCCCAGACTCCTACCAAGTAGCCTAGCCTTAACCCTTCAATGCCCAGACTTTTCCCTTCCCTTCCCAACACACCAGTCCTGAAAAAGTTGGAGGGCGACGAGTCCTTGATCCATGATAGCTCATAAGACCAGCGCTAAGAGAATACGATAAGGTTTCTAAATGAAGCTAGCGTCTTTTGTTGCGTCAGAAATTCCCGGTTTGACATAAAGTCACTTTGAGTTTAAGATCCATAATCCAGTCTCCTGTTCTTCATCTCAGATAATTATGGTGTTGAGGTTTTTACAGAACACATCACACCCAGAAGAGAAGCTAAAGAAGGGCCTTGTTCTTCAGCAGTGTGTACACACACACACACTCACTCCGCGACATGTGTGTACACACACACTCCCACGCACACACTGACACCAAACCATGGGTAAGTACAGCGCGTCGTCTCATCTGTCTCATCACAGGACAGAGGGACAGCGGAGGACAGTGGAGGGTGGGCAAAGTGGCGCCCGGCAGAAGAACACACACACACACACAGCGTACACACACACACACACTTCACAGAGTCCCTCAGGTGCCCATTGAGCTGTCGTTGTGGGAAGAATGGAAATGATTGACAGGCAGAACAAAATGAGGTGAAGCTAATACTACAGCGTTCAGGCCGGGTGACGGCTACAGTCACTCTGCATGTGTGCACACATGTGTGTGTGTGTGTGTTTTACCAGACCTGTCAATCAGCAG